TCACTTAGTCCGCCTGGAAACAATGATCCGTGAAGCTTTCGTGCATAAACAACACTGTGTCTCGGTTTTCTTTGACCTAGAAAAAGCATACGGCACCACATGGAGGTATGGAATACTTAAAGACCTTTACAACTATGGTATTCGGGGCCGTATGCTGAAGTGTATAGGAGACTTTTTAACGAATAGGACATTCCAGGTTCGATTGGGCTCTACTTTGTCTGATCCATTTGTTCAAGAAAACGGAGTTCCTCAAGGGGGCATCCTCAGTGTTACCTTGTTTGCAGTCAAGATAAATTCCGTTGCCACAATTCTCCCGTCTTCCATCTCATACTCACTTTACGTAGACGATCTTCAAATCTCGTGTTCCTCCTGTAACAGTTTTACCTGTGAACGCCAGCTTCAGTTGGCTCTAAAGAAACTTGGTACTTGGGCAGATGAAAATGGATTCAGGTTTTCCCCAGAAAAAACGGTTTGTGTGCCATTCTCCTTGCGCCGTGGGCTGCCTTTGAATCCAGACCTCGAACTGAAAGCCATGCGGTTGCCTGTTAAAAATGAGCACAGGTTTCTGGGGGTGATCTTCGACAGGAAGCTTAATTTCATTTCCCACTTGAAGTGTCTGAAGGAAAAATGCCTTAAAAGTATGAACCTCTTAAAAGTATTGGCTAAGAAGACTTGGGGATCAGATAGAAGATGTCTGCTGCGCCTATACAATTCCCTTGTGCGATCCCGTCTTGATTATGGTGCAATAGTGTATGGATCAGCGCGACAATCAGCTCTGAAAATGTTAGATCCAGTGCACCATCTTGGATTACGACTCGCCACGGGCGCTTTCCGTACATCCCCCATTCTGAGTTTATACGCCGAGTCCAACGAGTTGTCGTTGGATAAAAGACGCCAATATCTAAGTATGACATATGCCTACAAAATATTAGCTAACCCTCGCCATCCAACATATGATTCCATAAAACGTTCAAGGTTCTCTCGCCTTTTCGAAAACAAGCCCAGCATTGTACGCCCATTAAGCCTCCGCCTTGCTGACTATCATACCTCTCTTCAGATTTCTCCCGATGGGATGTCCCTACTCTCACAAGTTGACTGTATTGCTCCCTGGGAGAGACTGCCGGTTTGTTGCGATTGGTCACTTACGAAATATAATAAGCACTGCGTTACTTCAGTGGTTATACTGCAAGATTTTCAAGAGTTGAAGACAAAGTATGCTGATTATTGTCAGTTTTATACTGACGGTGCTGAGGCTCAATCCTTCACTGGATGTGCCGTATATTCTGAGAACTTTTCTCGAACGAAGCGCCTTAATTCGATCGCCAGTATCTTTACAGTAGAACTGTATGCAGTGATGTTAGCAATTGACCATATTAGACTGAAGAGAAAAGTAAGATCGATTATATATGTGGACTCTCAAAGTGTGATCCCTGCAATTAGTTCCCTCAAAGACACCAAAAATATGCTTGTACAGCTTGTGCGTACCAAAATTAATCGTGCATTGCAGAACGGACATCATATTATACTTTGCTGGGTGCCAAGTCATGTAGGTATATGGAGTAATGAAAAAGCTGATAAGATGGCTTCTTCCTCCAGGAATCTTCGGCAGTTAGCAGCCTCGTTACCTTACCAGGATATCAAACCGGTCGTGAGGGCATCAATTTTCCAGAGATGGCAGACAGAATCGGACGAAGAATCCAACAATAAGCTTCACTTCACCAAGCCCATTCTTGGACTGTGGGAGAGTGCCTCTTTAAAAAATCGATTTCATGAGGTATTGTTATGTCGCCTTCGCATAGGCCATTCCTATATAACCCACAAATATCTCCTCTGTGGAGAAGAACCACCCCGATGTATACACTGCGGGGATGATGTTTCCATCCTACACATTCTATGGCTCTGTTCCGGTCTTGATGAAAAACGACGGCATCATTTTCCTGAATTGTTTAGATATTGTATACCTTTTCACCCTGTTCTGTTATTAGGAAATCACCCTCTTATCCCATTTGAACCAGTGCTCAGTTTTATTTCTAGCACTGGCTTTTTACACCAGCTCTAATACCCATGATAATGACGAACAATGTCCCATTTTATCTAGAATGTGAATGAACTACCTAGTTTGGCGCACTTTGGCCTCAGTAGCATTTTGCGCCATAAAGCCCCCAATCATCATCATCATGATTGAGTGTGTTGGTTTCTAATTTACGATAAGGAAAGAGGGGCATTAAAGACAAACAGACAAGACAAGCCTGTCTATTCTGCTTGTCTTCAATGTACGTCTTTCCTTATCGTAGACCATTTTTGTATGGGAGTTTCGGATAATGTGTCCAGGTGCCTAAAACAGCATCCTTTCTAAAAACCCTTTGAGTAAACCATAACAAACTCAATAGATATCCATTGAAAAAGCTATAAATGCTTCTAGCTAACTTGTGAGTGAGCATAGAAAAGCTATAGACAACTATGGAAGCAACACTAGCTAATTGGGAAAATTGTTTATAGCCGGCCGTACTAAGGATTTTCTGTAGCCGACCATAGCCCATTTTTGTATGGGAGTTTCGGACAATCTGTCCTGGCGCCTAGCACACGGGGGATAGGTCCTCTGTTGTCGGAGAAGTTCGGCCGACGTAACCGCAGGGTACGACGACTGATACGCACTAGCGGGTGTTGGTGAGGGTGATGGAAGTGCATCGGAAGCGGTGCTCGTTTTCACAAGTTCAATACCGGCACGCAGCTCACATCGAACGGCTTCTTTAATTTTATACGAGGCGGTATTTGGTTTGGGGGATGTCACATGGGGGCTGTAATTGGGTGACGGAACCATGCAGCTCCTCGCATATGATAGTGCAGATAAGCGTGGCGAGACTGGTGCCTGAGGTCACATCTCGGGAAAGCTCTGCAAGTCGCTCAAATAATTTCTGGGAGCTTTGAGCGCTGGTAAGTTCTTCATACTTGCGACACTTTGAGATAAGCCGCGCAACAGTTGTCGGTGTCTTTGGTGCGACGATCAAAAATAACTGGAGTTAAATTGCTTTAAAGAAATGGCGAATTTTGTCGTCTAACATTTTATGATCTACACGTCGGCATAGGCGAAGCACGTCATCCATGTATGCGCTTGCGGTTTCAGATTAACCTTGGTAGCGGCGCAAAAGCGAATCATCCTCTTGTTTTCGGTGTCGGGGTTTTTCAAAGATATTTGTGAAGGCCGTTTTAGATGCGTCCCAAAAATTGATGGTATCCTTGTGGTTATCTAATAGCGAAGCGCATGTCCATGATAAAGAATACAATGTTGGCCAGCTCTACCCTGTTGTCCTAACGATTGTATTGTTTCACACTTTCATAGCTCTTGACCCAGTAGTCAACAACGGCCTCAGGGGATTCATTGAAAACCTGTGGGTCTAGTTGCCGATGTTTTACAGTGGACGCCGGAACGTTGGGAGGCCTAGAAGTGTCGGGTATCACTTATAGCGTAGTTCGCTCGCTACGTAGCTACAGGCTGTGCTGTGAAAGATATGCGAAAGGTGGGAGAGCGAACACACCTCAACCAACATCGAAGATGATGTCGGTAAGTTTAGGATGGTGATTACGCGGGTGCAGCAATGGCGGACATTCAGCAGCCAGTTCTGTCGGCGGGTCCATCCGATTTGAAGGAGCGGGCGTGACCAGCGCGATCAATGGAGCTCCCCTTCGTCTGCTTTCCTAACAATATCTTTATGTGGTTTTGCTGTATACCACTCCATGTGGCTGGTATTTGTTCCATCAGTAGCTCGAAGCACTACTGAGTTAGTATCATAAGAAATCAGAAGCTCGAATATAAATGGAAAGCCCCATTAACAAAATGCCCTAATTGACTTAACATAAATTCAGTTTAACCAAATAGTGCACAATACCTGTGCGTGAACAACATCGCCTGTTTTTCAAATACTTACGCGATAGAATACTCGGATATTGATTGATAAAGTGGCAACAATTTTGAATGCGAAGAAAACATGTTCAGGAATGCTTGCGCAAATATGCAATCAAGGAATCTACAACGTGCGCAATAATATGGCCTATCTAAATATCGCATCTTTATAGAGAAATTCCACATATTAACAGGCTGCGTATCCTTTTTTTAAACATGCTTTTTTGAGCCTGTGAAACACGCAAATACCTACTATGTTTGATTGGACGAAAGCTTTTAGAATGATTCAAGATCCTCATGTCACAGGCATTTGGTGTATGCTTAAAATGTTATGCACAAAGGTATTCTTTAGTAGCTTTTACATCAAACATCATGTTTAATATTAAAATCGCTAATCTACTCGATAATATACTGAAGTCATAAATGAGTCATATGAAGCACAGATGAACACAAATAATACCCTTCATGTCCACCGACGTCACTAGAGCACTCAGCTGGGAAACTCGCGGTTGAAACCTGGGCCGCTGGCGTCCACCGAAACCGAGCTAAACAGGACAACAGCGCCACTCTTTGTCATTTGTCTTAACTGTGCTCACCTAGAGCTTTTAGAAAGCATGTTTTTGCGTAAAAACCAACGAAAAAAACTGTGAAAACGTTCATAGGAGTTTAGTACAAAATGAAGGGCGCGTGATGTTTTCTAAAATCTTTAGTTTGCAAGGTTTTGCGGCACAATTAATATTGTCTTTATACAACCATGCGTCACGGTGATTTCAGCAGCACGTCCCGACCTAGGCGCATTCTAACTTCGGTAGTAATCCACGGCGCGTCCGCTCGGGTGACGGGGCTGGCACCCCTGAAACCTCTTCCACCGCATCTGTTTCGGCGCCAAAATGTCCGATTAAAGTTAAAATAGAAGTCACGTGCAGTTCCCGAAGTGGTCGCTGCGGGAGAAATTGCGGCGTTGCGATCGCCATTAGCTTGGTTGTCGAGTACGGATCAGTGCGACTTTTTCAGAGCAGGCTTTATGGCAGTTTCCCAACTGAGTGGTTCTAGTAACGTTGATGTCCACCGACTTCCGAAATTGAATGAAGCAGTTATGTTTCTAGAGACGTTCACAGAACGTAACATCTATATTCTTCCATGAACATATAAAGGCGTGTGCTTCAAGAATTGAGAAATAAAAAACGTGCGTCTTCAGGCTATAAATGAGAGTAGTACTCATTAGCATTGCCATTAAATTTTGGAGGGTTTGCTTGGGATATTACTAACTCTGGGAACTTTTTTCTGATTCCCAGGTGTTCCCTGTCACTATCTTCAAGTTTCTTTTGTTGTTTGGTCATCTTCAGTCGCTCGGGCATGAAGAACATCTTTTCAATCCTGCCGGTGGGACATTCGCAGATGACGAAGACTATATAGCTTAGAAGAGCGCTCCATACAAAAATAGAGAACGTCTTCGATATCTGAAATAAAAAGAAACGAGAGGATCAAAACAAGGAACATAGCGATGCCATAATAGAATTGTAAATGTCACGGTTACGCATTTAGAAAAAAACCATCCCGTGAACCCTAGATTATCTGAAACGTTTTTACTAACAAACTGAGCTTCTTCAAACCAATCTCGTATAGACTATTTCGGCTATAATTATGACGTGCACAGAATGATTTTCAACCATCTCCTTTGTATGCGACGAGAATCGGGCAGAGCCACAACATACATTTAAGGTTCTGAAAAGCGCATGTTTATTTTTATATCTTTCAAAACCGGGGGCTTGCCTACATATCTTCCTCGTTTTTACCTACTCATGCGTGAGACCAGAAAAAAAACAAAAAAAAAACATTTAAGCCATGATAATGGCAGGGGTGTTTAGAAAATAGACATTAGTTTTTTTGTTGTCTCCAAGCGAAATGTGGGCTGCTGTTCTAAAATCTTCACGCATGGTTCTTGTCATGTCTTTTCTTTAAAATGTCTGCTTTGTTCGTGCTTTGTTCGCAAAAACTTGAGAAGCGTCATTTTGCATCCGGGAAAATTATTTTGTACAAAACATATAGTGAAAGTCGTGCTTGTATTCATAGCTCGCATTAAATATTACACTGTCTAATTGTATTTTCATTATTCGCGTAGAAAAGTTATTTACGCGAAAAAAACTTAAGTCACACGAAATACAACATATTGTTTATTTTATAAACTCAATTTAAATATTATGTATGAACAGCTCAATTTAGGTTTTTCTTACGCTCCTGAAGGACAGGGGCCGACATCTAAGTGGCCCTGCTTTGTTGGAAAAACTACAAACGTAACACAAATTATGCCTTTTAACCGGAGGGGCAGAATGGCGAAAATGTTTTTGCAGTGAAAACAGCCCACGTCTCGGGTTAAAAAGCATCATGGTAAACATCCACCAGTTCGCCTGCGCACTCAGTAAATTTGTTATGCTTACGTCGCGGTATATGAGAAGAAACTTCAGGTTACTTCGGTTATGGGGTTTACACCGCACTGTCCTACATTTTTGGTTAGCTACTGAGAAATTCAAGCATTGCCTCCAACTAAATTCTGCCCCTTCCCTCCTTCTCCTTCCGCTTTTATAGCAATAAGATATTTAATATATCCCTAAAGACATAGCTATAATGCCAAGGAAGTGTCTCCGATTTATATGTTTATCGCTGTATCTGCCCATGCCTCCAAGTAGTCCCGAAAAGGTAATAAATAAGGCATACTAAGCTGGAGTGTCATGCTGTCGTACGTCCTAATCCTGGTTGTTGGTCGTAAAAATGCTGCTAAAAAGTCGGAGTGAACGCAAGTCACTGCCGTCGCGGCTTCCCGTCTCCTGTCTGCCGAGGCTTCGGTGGACTGTCAAGCTGAAAAGCAACCTGCTGCAGAACAGGCGTCTGCCACCTGCACCGCCAGGATCGCGGCCGACGACAACATAACACGTCTATGACGTCATCCGGTGGGAATCAAAGGACCCCTTTTTAGGACGCGGTAAAATGCACCAGTCAGAGACATGTTCCGGGAACCATAGACGGAGCTTCCCATTTAACATGCAAGAGTTTAATTGGTATATGTACGTCATAACCCATGGTGGCATCAAATGGGAGAATTCGTAGCAAGAGTAGGTATATCTGTTTACATACCACAGTAAAAAACGAGTAGAAGACGCGCTCTCTGGCCACGTAGTAGGAAGTCACAAAGTACGGCATGTGGATGATGTAGATGCCGTAGGAAAGTCTACTCAGCGGAACGAAGGCGCCCCAGGAGAGGAAACGGCAGAGAAAACCTGGAAATGCGATGTCGAGATTATAACACAAGTCTTAATCTATAAACAAACATAGTTAAAAATAACAAAAGGAAAGGTACAAAACTACTTTGAGCGTCTGTTTTGTTTCCTGTATTCTTCAGCAGTTACCTGCCTTGTTTTCGTTGATTTTAATCATGTTTAACGCCTACGGACTAGCCCAGGTCAGCACCCGTTTACTCTCAATCTATGTTTTTTTTTTTACTAATAAAACTTAAAATGTGAAAAAAAGACAATGATAATTGTGGGATGTTTTTTTTTCAATATCTGCGGGTTCCTTTAAGGTAACGTGAAAAAAATTGGTAAAGATTGTCATGCACAGTAAAGAAAAAATGAATAAGCAAAATTCTTGATTATCTTAAGTTAATGCAACAATTATTCTGCTTTATTTCTATGGACCCAATGAGATGTAGTTTTTTATTTATTTGCAAGAGAAATATCGTTTTTATGTGCTGACTTGCTCACATATAAAGCTTTGATACGTTGTCTGACATGCAATCACATATCCTATATAAAATAATATATAAATTAATTCTGAGATACCTTCAGCAATATAACACATTTTGTAGCAGATAAACCGGCGATGAATTTGCATATTCTGGAGTAGCTTATCCTAAAAGCACAGTTTTCATATCTTTTCGTGCAAATCCTTAGGCAATCTGCCTTCATACTTATTACGATATATTCACGGCCACCGCAATTTATGTGGCTCAAACATTAAGGAGTGGCACGGAGATTGGCAACACACGCTGTATCAACATCCAGATAAGTTTCTTGTGTATTTGATTCTTGTTAACTGCCACCGTATAAGTTGCCGCCGTGTAATCTGCCACAGCGTTAACTGCCACCACGTAATCTGCCACAGTGTTCGACGATGTTTTATCCTAAGCGTTTAAAGGTTGGACCGATGAGGTACATATATTTTGATGTAATAGAACGTCTTCAACGTCTGAAGGATAAGAAAGGGCTCTTTTACCTCCTCCACCAGTTGCGCAGGAAAACGTTAGCCATGCCAAGAAGGCAGCCCACATGAGACGATCAAAGAAAGCGAATGCGATGTTCTCTGCGGCGCCAGTCTTAATGGTTCCAGGGTTCCAGTGATGCCGGGAAAGAATGCAGGCCGCTCCGCAGGAGAGAGAGATGCACCAAAGCAGCACTTGCAACACCTTCATGAAAAACGGATTGTAGAAGTTTATCAAGTAACCGAACAGCCGCATGCTATGGAGCGTTTTGGAGCGCAACTCTTAGGCGCCCGTTTCCGGCTTCAGCGGCGTCGCCGTCGGCGTAACCTCGCGGTATACTATGGGAAACGCCCCATCATTCACCGCGTGGACGTTTCAGCACGGTGACGTTTCGACGCGGCACTCGCGCGAAAACGTCACGGTGACGAAACGACACCGTGATGTTTTCGTGGAAGCCACGCGCCGAAACGTCACGTGACTTCACCGAAACATCACCTGACGTTTCGGTACCGCTCCGAAACGTCGCGTGACGACACGTGTTTCGCGCATGAAAGGAGCAGGAGGGGAGGAGGAGAGGGTACGGATAAGGAGGAGTGGCTCACCCTCCCCTCAGTACCCTTTCCTCCTCCTCCTCAAGAGCTGCGCTTCAAATCGGCGTAACAGGGTGTTGTAAACCTCTTTTATTTTTTTTTCAAGAAGAGTTCTGCTCATGCGCGCGCCCTCCTCATGTATTGTCAAAAGATGTAACTACGGTTGAAGTCCGGAAGGGGAGTTCCGCTGCCTGTTTTGCCTCCTCCGCGTCTCAGATGAGTCGCAGAGGAGATGAAAAAGGTTGCACAACTCTCCTTTCGAACTCCAACCGCAGTTTCAAATTTCGTCGCTTGGTGTCTTCTTTCTGTGTAAAAGTTTATTGACAGTTGAAGAGCTTCGGGGGGGGGGGGGGGGGGGGAGGAAGGGGGTGGTTCGCGATAAAGCAAACAGTGAGCATCAGCGTGTAGAGCAGGGGACGTTTCTTTAAAGTGTCGCCCTGATGAGACAAAGAAAGCTGGCTTTAAGTCTAGACAGTAATCGTTCCAGTCAGAGCTTGGTGCTCCTTCCTTCTCTCCCTGATTTTATATCCGCATACTTACATCCTATCACCTGCAGGGATTCGAACTCATAGGACCAATGAAACAGCGTACCATAATGAATGAACAATCTCGATTTATTCGTCTTTATTTTTGTGTATCATCGCTGGCTCATCCAATAAACGAAGATAGTTCGTAGTGGCCTCGTCTTCTCGTCTGCATGGATGCGCATCTTTCAGCCTTTCAGTCCACCCCGAATTATGGTTGAAGTATATCTCAGCGGAATGCCGACTGCCATTTTTATGTTTGCTTTAATTATAAGTCAACGTACAACGGAAGGCGTGAAGACGTAGTTCAAACAAAGACGCGAAGGCTAAAGCCTCACGGTCACGGTATATCAACCGAGCTCCTTTAGTCGTAGCTGGTGGTAACACAGGCACAGAAAGGCGACGAACGCCCTGACGTTGCGTGTTTTCTCTGAACAATTGCGTTTATCATCTAGTAGTATCGGCTGCGCTCTGACCTATGACAAAGCGAAGCACAGGCATTCAGGAGCTTTCTTTGCAGCAGATTATGCGTGACAATGAAGGTACAACCATTAAGATTTAAATAGGAATAAGGTGTGACCTATTTTCTCGGAGGACATACGGAAAGCCGAAAGAAAAAAAAAACACTTTCAGAAGTCATAATTTAAAGAAATTGAGAAAATTTATTGTTTGCGAGCTGCGATACTTTACTAGTGAGTTTTAGTATTCCCTATAGTCATTTTCATCTGAGTAGTTGTCTGACCGGCGGATAGAGGGGGCTGAAGCGCTCGCCGCCATTAGGTTGCTTCAATTTGGGTGGTTTCGCTTTCAACGTGCACGCGGCTATGTTGCTGTTTTATGTATCTTCTGGTTAATTTTGTGAAATGGGAATTTTGCGGGTATATTTACGAACCCCTATGTGCATCTGACTATGGTCGGCGGCAAATCGACTGAACACTATGTAGAGGGAAGACTACCATTGTCTACAGCCATTCCGGATGGCACCTGTTTGCAGAAAAATAAACCCATAAAAAGACTAATACATGAATTTAAAGAAGCAGGCTGACAGCTAGATACGCGCTATGCTGAATCGGGAAGAACAGACGAACTCCCTAGTTCTCTACCAGTCTTGTACACGTTACTAAAAAAAAGTAGTCGATTACAATTACTATTACTCTTGGCTAAAAAGTATTCGATTAGATTACTCGATTACACGACGGAAAAAGTAATTGGACATTACTTAAAGAAGTAATAGTTACTTTTCCGATTACTTTATTGTGTGAAGACACATCTCTGAGCGCTCATAACAATGAACTACTTCCAACCTATATTTCACATTTGCACAAGTATTGAAGAAGAAAAACTGGCTCCCTCTTCGTGGTCGTTGCACCTTCACAATGCGGACACAAGCATAGAATTCGTTTGAAAACGTTTAATGATTTGGGCGCGCGCCAGTGTGTGTGTGTGGGGGGGGGGGGGGGGGGGGGGAGAGCCGGAGGGGGTTCTAGATCTTGTTAAGCTTGAGCAAGGGTTGTCGCTCTAAGTTTGCGTCGTTCACTTTATTATTCACATGTGGATGAACTCGCATGTTATACAAAAGAGCAGCAGCTCCAGGATTTGAAACGGTTCATGTGTAGTGTTCATTAGCGGAAGAGATCCCCCCGACCACTTCTCAACTCGAAACATTGCTTGTCACAAATACCACGTAGGGGAAATAGGGAAATATTTCAACTGCCTTTGTTATACTTTGCATCCGCTTAAGGCATTCTTCGGTTCAGGTTCTCCTACGGGCTGCGAGTAGGTGCCCTAAGCAGGATGTTTTTAATTTTTTTTATTTCTCTGTGTGTGTGTGCGTGAGGGGGCTAGTTTGAACGAAGGACTCACAAAGCTACATTCTGCTTCTTCAAACTTTGCCCTGAATGGCCTTTGTCACACACTGTGGCTTCCATGGGGCTTCCCACTCCCAGTCCCAGCTCGAAAAAAAAAAAAAAGGACATTCCACAGAAACTGTACATAGAAAGAGATTGACCTCGTTGCCTACAGCTCCGCAAAAATCTTCATTTTTTCCGTTCGAAACAAAAAAAAGGAAATTTTATTTTTGTCATTTTATAAAAAAAGGCGTGTGCCCGGGCCGGGGGGGGGGGGGGGGGGGGGGGGGGGGGGGGGAGAGAGTCCCGTGGACAAATTGTAACGGTTACAAGTAATTTTATTACTTGAAAAAGTAATCAGATTACTGTTCTGATTACTGCCTAATAAAAGTAATCAACTGATTACAAAATTACTCCAAAAAGTAATCGATTACCAGTAATTTGATTACTTGTAATGCGTACGGTACAAGACTGTTCTCTATTGGCAGTTTTGTTTGCATGAACTCCCAACTTTTAGTAAATTTCGCAGAATAATCAAGTCTCGGACAATGACACATGTAATTTATAAAAGCAAGTATTTTTCTCTCCCCCTGTTTTAATTAAAACAATGAAGTACACGAGAAATATTTTGACAGAGTGACCTAGGCAGAGTTGGAAATTTATCAACCCCTCAATTATTCATAAGCAGCATTTCACAGTATTGACCCTAGGAAATAAACTATATTTATATGAACATTTGCTCGCAACGTACACATGATATCATCAAATTAAGTTTGTCATTTGTCTTCCGTAAAGTTAGCCAAATAAAGTTAAATGGTGTCGGACACGTATCTCGGAAAGTTTGGCTGAAGTCTAACACTAGGCGCCAATTTGTTAACCAGTGTAAGAACATCTTTATTTGTTTGAACAGATGCGCTTTGCAAATTCGGGAGTCGCCAGGCACTAAAAAAAAACACAAAAAACACCTCTATTTTTTTGTATTCGGATACTAGTTTTGCAGAAAACGGCGCAAGCGCCTGGCAAGGCCTTAGCCCCCTCTTGGCATGCAGTGTTCATCTTAGAGATAAAAGCCTCAAAGAAAAAATTACAAATACAAAACACACTATACAGAAATTTCAAATAGGTTTAATATCCAAATCAGATCACAAACAATAAGAACCTTAATAATTCATAAGCAATAATCACTACCCTATATACACGAAAAACATATCATTTTATAGATTTTAACGCAATTGTTCAATACTCTCAAGCACATTATTGGCCATCGATAACGTTGGACTCGGGGACTTTTATGGAAACGGCTTTTTTTCGGCGTTATGGCTGACTCGGGGCACTGGCATGAGTTAGAGCAGCGTTTGCAAAATGTTTTCCTATGCAAGAATATAAATAGCATCGTAATTACTGCGCGTGCGTCGACCCCCAATCGCGCTTTGGATAGGCACCTGCAGGAGACACTATTTCTTAGCATATTGAAAGATTTTGCGTACGTTATTTAAAAGCTCGGTGATCTTAAGCTGCCTGTGATAGTTTCTTACACAGGAAGTCCCAACCTATGTGGTAAAATAATTTAAGTACATTGGACTGTTCATCTAAAGACGGTCAATAAATCACTCGAAAGACTGCCGTCATAGACCGAACGCGGTATACAGTTTCTTAAAATGCATAAGAAAACCGACGTACGAGTTGCTTATATCCCAAAAACTACAAAGAACGCAAACCCACATAGGTGTGATATTTAGAACAAACAAATCACCTGATGTTGACGCGTCATTGACCCTAGCATTAGATAAGATGCAAGTTGGACGTTCGTTGCCGATCTCCTCTACGAGTTCCTACACGTAATCAAGAGAAACTGTGTTTGATATAAGTACATAGGAAGATGCTTTCAGAAACACGCATAGTCTCCTTACGCTGACTATATTTGTCACCTTCCAATCCTAAATGCTCGATCATAAATATACATGCAACTAATTGCAGATGTTTCGCCGCAATTAGTAAACAAACCTGCGTTGTCACAAGTAATTGACCTTTGAACCCTCGTGCTGTCTTAGTCATTTAAATAATCAACGCTGTTCAGTGATGATGCTGATTCTTGTGCCTCATCCTCACATGCATTGGGAGCGGCGACGGTAAAAGTAGTCAAATCATGCTACAAAATTAACTGAGCACATTTTGCATATCATGATGCGATACGAGCAGGTAGTAGATATGTGTATGGTACTCTACCTTAAGGAGTAAGGCAA